CGCATTGCGAAGTGAAAAATTGTCCTACCGGGTGGGCTGGGCAATACGCGGACGTAGTGGATCACCTATAATTATTCTAGAAGCCGTGACTAGATTATGACCTTTTGGATATGGTATGCTTACTTTGAGTTTGCCAGGTACAAATAATGATATAAATGTATTAGAATCTTCTCACTATTGCTCTAATCTCTATCAAGCATAGCTCTCCCTGCTCGTTACATCATTCAAGGAAAAGAATATAATATGGGTTATTATTTGGGTGATAATATATATCCGAAATGGGCCACCATTGTGCAAACTATTCGGAACACGTACTCCAAAGAAAAACATATTTTGCAATGAAACAAGAAGCATGTAGAAAAGACGTGGAACGCGCTTTTGGAGCTCTCCAATCTCGTTTTGCAATTGTGGCTGGACCAGTTCGTTTTTGGAACAAAGATGTGTTGCATGATATAATAACTACATGTATAATTTTGCATAACATGATAATCGAAGATGAACGCAATCTCACTGGACCTATTCAAGTTGCGAGAGAAGTGCCATCCCCGGATGTCGAATTAGTGGTGGATGAAAATACTCAGTTTCAAGAATTTATCGCTCGCCATAAACAAATCAGGAATCAAGATGCCCACATTGCATTACGAAATGCATTAATTGAGCATTTGTGGGATCAATATACTAATTCTAATGTTTAGTTGCTCTTGTATTTTTTTTTGTTTTCATTTATGTGTTCTAATGTAATTTTAATTGTATTAAATATATATTTGCTTATTTAGAACATTTTAATATCTCAATTTTTTTATTGATAAAAAAAAACATAATTTTTAAAATTATAATAGCTTTAAAATTGATAAATATAAATATATGATTAAAAAAATTTAAAATAAAATAAGAAAAAGAATATGCTAGGAATATTCCTTTTTTCATGTTAGAAAATGAAGTTCGATTGGAGTCGAGTTACTGCATTTTGGAGTTTTACTGCATTTTGGAGTGAGAAATGAGTTTTTCGGTTGGAGATGCCCTAAGAGGCAAATCCAATGCTACTTACTAGCTACTCAAATTTAATTTTAAATTTCAAGACTTTAAATTAAAAAAAAAAATCAAATCATACAAAAGAAATAATAAAAAAAAGTAAGATATAAGAAGTCTAATTTTCAAATTTTATAATCTAACTTCATTTAGATCCTATGATTTATTTTCATAATTTCATTCATGAACTACATCCACTATTGCTTAAATAATATATGCTATAAGAGAAATTATTATGTGCGGACACCAGACGGTTAAGAGAACAACCAGAACCCACCGCCACCCAGTACACAACGGTACCGAGCACTGATATCGAACAAAAAAGTGACATAGCACGTTTGGTTGGTCTCCAAATACCATCCGATGTGCTATAGAGTTTAGTATATACGGTCAAGTTATGCTCCAATGATATTGGAGTGTTTATTAGTGTTAAAAATTCTTCATATAATACTTTTCACAATTAGTAGTTGAGAATTCCTACAAAGAAATTAATTTATAAATATTTACAAATATTTACTATTATTTGAATAATCATATGAGCATATGCACCATTTTGAATAGTTATAAGGCGGCAATTAAAAACAGTTGCAAAATTATAAGGCATAATTGAAAGCGGTGCCCGAAAATGTGAGAAATTATATGAGTATCATCAAACGAACCTAAGACAAAAAAATTCATTCTTTCTACTCTGGTGATATTCTAATTAGACTACAGTAATTCTCATATATATAAACAAAAAGAAAGATACTAAACCACCTTTCCTGGCCCTTAGGATATTTCCAGTCCCATTTCAGGCAAGTTCTTAGATAAAGTTTGCTATTAAATCAATATATTTGAGAAGACAGTAACAAAGAATTATTTATTATTTTTATGGTCGTCAACAGCTGACTTTGGGAGACATGTCACAATACTATATAAATGGCAAACGTTAGCAACCGCAACTATTGACAGTTAATTAATTGTTAGACCAAACACTTTGGGCAATACATAATATATATATATATATATATTAGTCTGTTATAATTTCCAGTACGTCCTTTTCTGCATCACATCAAACTTAATTCAGAGCCATATCTTGACAAAGACCTTAAATCTCCAAGTCCATTTCATGAAGTCAATAGTGACAGCGATCGTATTATGGCACGCAATATGCTAGCTACAACATGCTATAACCTAGACAGTTAAAAACTTCAAAATTACCTTCTGCTCCTACTTAAGGCAACTCAAATGAAGCTTCTTCATGTTTTTCTCACATAATTGGTCAGACGAATTAGGCTATCTGTGTTGTGACCGACCAAAATAGAGAAATATTGAATGCTTCCAACATCCGTGCATGGCAAGAAGCCCACTCCCATGAACAAGATGGCGAGCGAGCACACCACCACCATGCAACATGGACCCAGCTTCTCCACAAAACAATACTGCAGAGAATGCCAGCAAATTGTTCTGCATGGGGCTCCCATGTGCAAGAGACCAACACAAGCTATGCATAACTAGAACGGGGGCCCCATTTCTTTGAGCATCTTGTGGCTTTGGGACTAATTATATTGTACTAATTAAATGGTGACAACTAACATGCCTTTGCATCCTCTTCAATCCATTGCACATACAGCCAGGTATTTTCTTAGTCACATTAGCTAAGACAGAAATTTTCATCCAATCGATGTGTCTAACCAAAAGTACTATAAAAGGATTCATACATCATGGCTAGCTACTTCAATTCAGTTCAATATGAATATTTCATATTCTTTTTAAGTGTATTTGAATGCTCTGGAAGTTGCTAGGTGTTCGGTTTCAACTTTCTCGTGTATGAATATTTTCATTTTTCTTCGGCGGTGCAGAGATCTTCTTCCTGGGGAACTTTAACATGCTGTATGTGGACCTCAACCTTGAGGATTTGGTCTGTGAGTGGGGACCAAAAAGCTTCAATTTTGGTCATGGGGGCCATATGATGCTGCTTCAAGTGGTTAGGATTGACTGACTAGTGCATGGGTGAGTCAAGAGTGAAATGCCTGCCTTTTAATCGAATTTGGAATCAGTGAGTTTAGATCAATTTGAATGCAACATAAAATGGAAATCTTTTTAGTAATGTTTGCATAGGATCAATATCTATTTGATTTGATTATGTGCAGGCTAGAGTTCTGAATAACGTACTTCTTGTGATCAACAATAAACAGTTGAACCCTTTCGAATCAAATTCTATGATAGCTATCCTGAATGTGTATATTTTTCCAAGCTCAAATTCAAACTAAATTTGAATCAATTAGCATTTGCAACCTTACAAAATTTAAACATTTTTACATTCATGTTAGAGTTACTAATTTAATCTTCAATTTTTAAAGGGTAAAGAAACCTAACGGACCAAGAAAACCTGGGGGTGAAATATATATGCATTGCAGTGAACAATAATGTAAAGAGCCTAGATGTCATCGAGAAAGCATCATTTATCAAAACTAAGGCAATACTAAGCTATGGCATCCTTCAGAAGAATGATAAAGTATGTATTCTAAAAGTCTTAGAGCCTCTACAGAAGCCATTCCCTCCACCTCATTGTACAAACAACAAATCACTAAAGCGAAGTTAACTTAGCCTAAAAATGGAGAACATAAGTATAAAGCACCATTTTAGTAATCTGGAATCACACAAAACAATCCTACCAAAAAACAACAATAACAACAACAACAAGCCTTTATCCCGGCCACTTCGTGGCATCAACTACATGAATCTTTTTTATCCATTGTGTCTTAATAAGAGTAAAATTTTCATTTAAATCTAAAAATCAATAAATATCATATATAGATCCTCACTCTCTTTTTACTTCTTCATCAAACCTCTCAACAAATGTATAGATTTTATAGTGGACCTACCTCGCATGAATCCAAACTAACTTGGAGTAACATTGGTATTATGTCATAACCCATGCTCAATTACTCTCTTATAATTTTAATATATGACACATTAACTTAATTCCTTTATAATTTACACCTTGTGCAACACTTTTACTCTTAAAAATATGAACCAGCATACTCCTTCAAAATAATATTAAAAAGTTTAGTAAGTCAAAAAAATTCCTTGATCTCCTAAGCATTTCTACACATCAATTAGAATATGATCAGGTCCTACTTTTCCGCACTTTATTTTTATTAAAACATTTTCAACTTCGATTTTACTAATACGACAATAAAAGCAAAAAATCTTTATTTTTATTTGCGTACTAAAGCCACTAAAGTTAATCGTACTCCCACAATATTCATTGAAAAATTTATTGAAATATCTCATACACATGTTGAATATATTGTTTTAAGAAAAGAGTTTTTTGATATTCATCTTTAATGCACTTCACTTGAATTAAATCCTTAATTTTCTTATCTTTTTGTTTGGGTAATCTATACATAAATCTTTCGCCCTTTTTAGTATCCAATCTACTATATAAATCAATAAAAATTAAATTCTCTATATCACATAGTGCTTTTTAGACTCCTTATGAGCCCTTCTATATCTTTTTTCAAATTTTCGAGCTTTTATATCTAAACTAATTTTTATAATAAAAAAAAAACATTTTATTTTTTTATCTTTTTTTTACACATTTTGATTCCACCATTATTTTGCTTTATCAAAATATCCCTTTTTAGTATGATTGAAGGTTCATTATCATGACATGAATCCTTTAAACATAAAATAAATAAATAAATAAATAAACAAAGTAAAAAAAAAAAAAAAGTTCATTGAAAGGACAACCTGTAGCTGTACAAAGCAATCCCAACATGAACATATGATATCAGGTACACAATTGAAGACATAAAAGTCTTGCCAGGTTGGTTGGGCCAAGCAGGCACCTGTTGACAGAAAATTTCCTGCAATTGAAGAAACAAAACACAACACTCTCAGCTAATAATTAAGGGGCATTCAGTTTTTCATGATTCCCTCGACTTTATTCACCCTTAGTTTCTCCAATTCTTCAAGCTAGTGCATCGTAAAGCATGCCAATTTTTCTATCTTACAAAGTTTACCTATAGTAATTCTTTTTTGAGTACACCTCGTATGGAGTTAATAAAAGATATATGCTATAAGCTGAAATAAATTATAGCTTAATGCAACAAAACTAACTAGAGATGCTAGACAGCATGAAGTTACAGATGAAAAATACTAACTAATAATAAGGGTCGGTTATTTAAATGAGATAACCCCTCTTCCCAATGGTTTGTTCAGCAACAACAATAAAAAAATGAGTTCAATTTCAAAATAGTCCCCCAACTATTTGTATAAGTTCATTTTAATCTCAAAGTATAACGTTGCTCCACTACTTTACTGTCTCAACTTTACAAAATTAATCTAAAATGGTCCATTTGGAATTATATTGGGATTAATTTTGTAAAATTTGAAACTATATTGAGATCAATTTTATATTACAATTGCAACATGATGGACTATGTTGGATCAATTTTGTATAGTCAAGAGACTAAACAAAAACAACGTATTACTCTAGAACTAAATTGACCATACATGCATATATAGTCTATGGACTATTTTGAGATTTTCCTTGGAAAAAAAATAAGCAACTCTATTGGTACACTACAAAAGCAATAAAAACCACTGCTAAAAACATTTGTAGCAATTAAAAAACAGGGGAAGCTGTTGCATTTATTTATATAGGATTATAAGTGAACCAATGCACTAGATGTACAGCTTGAGCTTAGCTCAATTAACACACATTAACGTTTCGTTATATTAGTAATTAAAAAAAAAAAGAACTATTTTTAATTTCTTGATGACTAAGTGAACAAACTTGAATACAACTTATTTGTTATAACAAGTAATTTGTTAAGAGCATGTCATTAAATTTAATAATAACTTATATATTATTTAATTAAAATTTAATTAAATATAACTTGTATAACTATTTATTAAATAGTGAATATATTTAATTATTACTCTAGGATATTCCTCCAATTCTCATCTCTTATTCCCGCAATTCCACATCTGTTTCTACACTTTAGAATTCTTCTCCAAATCTTGATGCATCGATGAGCAGCCTATGAGCACGTTGTCATAGCCCTATTGGGCAATATGCCTAAAGGAGGTCAAGATAAATAAAGGCTCCAAATTCTGGAACTAAGGACTTGGTCTAAACCTATTTCCTATTAAATATTTTTTATCAAGGTAAATAATTAACTTAATTTTTTTCAAATCAATTAATCTATTTTTAGTCAAGTTGCATATTTATTTGGCACAATCTCTTCTTATTTCTCCATTTCAATGAATAAAATTATAACTATTTGTTAATGTTGTCTGATTACAAGAAAGTTTATTGATGATTTATTTATTAACTTCTTTAATTGATGCTTATTTAGTTGAGGTTGGATATTAATTCTAAATTTATTGAAGTTTTTGTTCATTTGGACTTATAAAAATATTTGTTAACATAAAAAGCCAGGTACTTATTCTTTTTTTGCACTTGTTTATTAGCTTATTTAAATACATGTTCTATTAATTAGGCCAATAGAGTACAAGCAAGCTCGATCAAAGAAAGATCTAAACTAACTACAAACATATATGTGAAAGCATGGTTCAATATCAAGCCGAACATGAACAAATTTTAGTATGACCAAGCGAATCCAATCTATAATGTGCTCAATTTAGCTCGACTCAATTCCATCCCTATCTTTCTAATATTGCGTTTATTAAGTTATACATCATTGGGTAAGGTATTTTTCAGAGTTTATAGATGATTATAAGTCTGTAAATGGGTGAATAAAAGCTTTTCTTACTTAATTGGTAACTTTTCACAATTTTCCAGCAGTTGCAAGTCGTCATAATTGTTGCAAATGAGTGAAATTAAATTACTTTCTTGCTCGATTGAAGCAGTTATAATCACTCTAAAATTTTTGCTACTGTTAAAATTATTACAAGATAAAAAAAATGTTTATTTTGCTTTTTCAATTACCATAGTTAATACTATTTTAATTATGAAAATTTTATTCTTGCAATGATTTTAAATGCTACAATGCTAAAAATTTCAAAGTAGCAACAAATTTTAACCATTGTAAATCTAAAAAAAAAAATGATACAGAGCAATTAAAATTCAAGAAGTTAGACATCCTACAACATTCATCACATAAATTAGGTTTAGAATAAAAATTTAAATCGTAAAGTACTATATGATAAATTACAAATTCATAATTTCATTTATCAAATAAAAAAAAAAACCTTTAAAGCATGTTCACATAATAATCGACTTTAAAAGATTCCACCTGAAATGCCATAAAAAGGACAATCAATGATTCAATAAGTTTAGAACTTCAAATTTTACTAAGATGGTAGATGCGCACAACTCTGATAAATGAAATAAATATAAGCAACAATTAGCCTTTTAAGGTTCCAACAATTTTCTCTAAAACAAAAATCTATCTTTAGTTTGAAAATCTAATCTGGATGGATGATTGATAGGGTTAGATAAGGAAAAAAAATCAAAATCAAGCAAATAAATTAGGGACATGCGCTTCCTCAACACTTATATGATAAAAAAAAAGGTGATCGTTGCATACGAAGTATATGAGTTAAGTTGAACGGAAACAAAAATACACTTGAATACAAAATAAAACTTAAATGATAAAAACCATAATGATGAGATAATAATGCAATTATGTCCACCATACATAACCCCATCAACTCCACCCCCAAACAAACATACCCTACATCAGCTCATATTCACCTAACATTTGTATATTCAACAGAACAACGAGCAAGCATTGCAAAATTGTGAAATGTAAAAATTATTGAAAATGTGCATAATGAAAAATAGGCAGCTAGAATATGGAATTAGCTAGCAACCAAAGATAGCCAAAAGTTAATAATACCAATGCTTTATACCACACGCCGTCCACTAAATAGAGAATCGCACAATCAACTCAACAATCATGCATTTATCTTGAATAATATAACATAAGAAAAGCAATAATAAAAAACCAACTCCTAGACTAAAATATTCTGAAAACTTGCACAATCACAAAGAGATTGATTAATTACTTCTACATTGCTAAAAAAAAAAAACTACAAATAAATGAATTGAGAATATGATAAGCACTAATTTAATTAGAATACTTATTATATTCGAACTTCTTGGAAAAGATTGGCCAGCTTCTTCCCCTTATTATATCAAAGCCACTGGCATGTTAATATTATCTTTGAGACTTCTTATTTGTTGGTGCTGCTCAACCATCTCCTCCTCTGTACTGGCTTTTCCAAACAATCTATTATTGCTCTTAGCACTAGAACTACAAACACAGTTTGAGAAATATTTAATGGGAATAACAATAAACCACTTGCATTGCACTCTATCCGGTTGTATAGTCCCATCATAATCTTGACATCATCCCATTATTTTCACATCCTCCAAAGTTATCCCTTTTTCAACATGTAGTTAATAGATTAACCCATTTCATATTAACAAAATAAACAAACATTATGAACTAAAAAATAATAATCCAAATCTATGAGACTAAGACCAAGATCTCATGCTCAAAGCAAGAATAATAATCCATCACAGAATACTCCAATCTGCTACAAGTTCTATGGCAAGAGATTTACCATTATCAATGCATCCAAATGGAATGCAATAAAGAAGCAAACCTTGATTTTCTTATTATATTAAACATTAAAATTGATTTTCTTATTATATTAAAAATTAAAATTGATTTTCTTATTATATTAAAAATTAAAATTGAGAATACTATTGTTGCTAGGTCTCAAGACCTGGGTGAGAAGAGTGAAGGGTTACGTTAGATAGTCGTCAGCAAACGTAAAACTTGTTGAATAATCATGACATGAATCATTTAATACATTATGGAAGAAAAAACAGCATGTATATAAGAAGAAAAACGCATAAACCAAATATAAGGGTTGAATTTTTATTATCTCTTCAACAAATAATGAATGATACAATTGATCTACTATTCGAGAGATAGATCGGCTCTTACACAAATCCTAGGCACTGCTAGAAAAACTACAAAGGAAAAGTACAGCAAACACAATCACAATGAAAATAAAACCACCCAATCAATGCTAATATAAACCTTCTTACTTCCATCCCAAATATGAACTCAAATCAATCATCTTTTCCTAAAAAATTATTTCCTAATTCTCTCTCAATCAAATTAGCCATCTTTCCCTAAATAAACTTTACCTAACTGGCTAACTCCCTCTCAATCAAATCAACCCTCTTTTCTTAAATAAACCTTTCATAACTTCATCCCAATCAAATCATCCCTCTTTTCCTAAATAAACTTTTTCTAATTAGCTCCACCTTAATTTCTCCTGCTTACATAATGAATAATAGATCCCCTAAGCCCCACAAGGGCGCATCAATACTCAAGACCCCCCCCCCCCCCCCCAAAAAAAAAAAAAAAAAAAGAAAAAAAGACACACCTTGTTCTCAAGGTGGAAGGAAAAGATCGATCTCCTGACCATCTCGTATGCCTCACATGTGGCTTCGTCCATCTTTCTCTATAGTCCATCCGCGACCTTATTCTCCAGTCTTGGGTAATATTGGATCTCAAAATTAAATCCAAGTAACTTGGATAATCGCATCTAATGCTCCTCAATCACTATCCTTGGCTCCAGCCGAAACTTCCGCCAATGGTCTATCCTAACGATAAAATGTGACCCCAATAAATAGGGTCGCGAAAAAATTTCCATCAACTCTTGCTCATGTACGAACTTGAGTCACACCCTAGTTGTGAGCACCTAGATGAAATAGGCAATGGGCCGATGATCCTGTATGAGTACTACCTCTAATTCATATCTGATGCATCCGTCTCCACCACAAATAGTCTACAGAACTTAGCAAGTGCTAATATTAGTATGTTGGTTATGACTTTCTTCAGCTGCTCGAAAGCCTATATTGTTGCTTCCCCCCAATTGAAATTATCCTTCAGCTTCTCCATCACTGGTCATGTTATCGTGCCATACCCTCGCACAAACTTTCAATAGTATCCAGTGAGACCTAAGAACCCTCACGACTCCTTCAAGTTCTTCGATAAAGACCAATCCACCATAGCCTCAATCTTAGATTGGCTTACTGTTACCCCTGCTCTACTCACCACATGTCTTAAGTACTTAACCTGTGACTGTACAAAAGAACATTTCTACATATTGGCAAACAATTAGTGCTCCCTCAAAGTTTTAAGTACAATACTCAGGTTACCCACATGCTCTAACTTCGTACAACTGTAAATTAGGATGTCATCAAAACATACTAGGCCGAATTTTCTAAGGGTTAAAAAGCCTGGTTCATGAGGGACTGAAAAATGGCTGGAGCATTAGTAAGGCTGAAAGGCATTACCAATAACTCATAATAACCCTCATGAGTTCTGAATGTTATCTTGCGCGCATCCCCCAATTTCATTCTAATTTGGTGATACCTCGACTTCAGATCAACCTTCAAAAAGATAATCACCCCAAACAGCTCATTAATCACGTGAATAAGAAACTTATGCAACAGATTTTCCTTATTTAGGGCCCTATAATCCACGCAAAACCTCCAATTGTAGTTCTTTCTCATTAATAGAATTGGGAAACTAGGCTCACATTGAACCTGATAATCCCTGCCTCTAGCATCTCTCTGATGAGTCTCTCTAACTCATCCTTTTGAATCTAAGGGTGCTGGTACGGTCGGACATCGATAGGATAAGCTCCCTCTTTCAAGATAATGGCGTGCTAGTGCTCCTAGGGTGGCGATAATCAATTAGGTTGCTGAAAAACCACAAGAAACTGCTACATAAGTTGACTCACACACTCAGGAACCTCAACCAACTCTAAATTTCATACCTCCTACAAGCTCTCAAGATACATCAAGTAACCCAACCTTGCTCTTTGTATTGCCTTAATCATGGTTTTAATTTTTATTTATTTATTTATATGGGTTACTTTCAAAAAAAATCATGGCTTTAAGCGCAACCATGGTTCTGCACAGGCCGATATCTCCTCGCAGCATCGCCTTCTTCCCCTCTACTGGATCTATATAAACAAAGATTTTTACTCCACTTTTGTTTCCGTAATCGTTCGTAATCACTTCATCCCTAGGATCATATTAGTGCTCTACAAATCCAAGGGAAGAAAATCTTTCACTATCCGTATGCCCTGAAGTATCATCACCAACCCCATGCAGATCCCCCTAATCTCCACCTTCCCTACCCCCATCATGACTCCAAAGCTCCATGTATCCACCAACTTCAAATGCAACTGGTCTACGATTTGATTTGAGATAAAGTTGTTAGTAGCATGTTATCCACCAAGACCACCACTGGCCGATCTCTGATCTGTCCTCTCACTTTCATGGTGTGATTTAGAGTAAATCCCACCACTGAAATAAGGGACACTTCTATTACAATCTAACTAAATATAATTCCTATCGTATTGAGATGTGAAAGACAAATCCTAAAATCTAATTTTGGAATATTTTAGATTCTCTTCTAATATTCATTTTAAATAAATAACAGATTACAAAACTACTAAAACATCTAAGTACTGAAAATAAACTCATCCACAAGATTTCTTTCATTTCATCAAAATGTATCTATACTACAGCACATAGCTAGAGACAAAAACTATAGAACTGTATAATAAACTAGTCATAATTGTATAAAAAAACAAAAGAAATACATATCAACTCTAATCAAATCCTGAACTGCTAATCAACAAGCTCCTTCGTTTACCCAGATCCTTATAACAACTCATCAGGACACAAACATCGATCAAAATTTTCAAATATTTTTTTATAAAATATTTTTAGAATATTTAAATGCAGTATAATAAATCGTTATACTAAGCAAAATAATAAAAGCATAACAGTTATCCAAATTCAAATAATAATATTGAGCAGATAATTAAAATTGAAATTCATATCACAAAATAGTTTCTATCGTATTTCTCCAATTCCAGACATAATCTCAAAATTTTTTGGCCCTTATACCTCTTTCAAATAGAATCTCAAAGGATTATGATCCCTTATAACTCCCAATAGACAAATTTATTAGAATTTTTTAGATTCATATTCCTGGTCACAAACAAAATTTAAAAGGATTTTGACCCTTTATATCTCCCAACATACATTTTTCATATAAAAAATGTTCAATATCACCTGACTCAATCATATAAATAGGTATTTCATTATATTACATGAAATAAAATATAATTGAGCATATTTTATAATTACACAGTTTTTTATAACAATAGTTAACAAAAAATCATACTAAGCAAAAATACAATTTTTTAATAAATAACCAAATTACTAGATATTGTGCAAAATACTATTTTAAGACTTTAACTAAATTACAACATTATTTTCCAGCATTCAAATAATTCTCTATTCAATAAAAACTCCATAAATTTCAAAAACCCCATCGTAAAATTTTTAGAAAATATTCTAAATATTTATAATTATAACCTCTATAATATATAAAAAAGTTACGCAATAAAGGTTTTGCTAGGGCAAAGTTATTCCCATTTTTCGGTTATGGAAATAAAATTTAATAAAAAAATTCAGTTAAAATTGCATATTTTAAAAAATTGAAATAGGCATAGTATAACTTACCTCGAGACGAACAAATTTCTAAACTAATCCGATAAGCAAAAATGGCTCTACGACCTACAAAACCTAGTTTATATTGTCTCTCTCCTCTTTTCTCTCATTTTCCCTTTTGTTTTTTCTCGATTGCCTCTCTGTCAAAATCCAAGAAATAAAATGCCTTCTAAAAGATTTTTTTTTAAGTGGAAAGAATATTTTTTATATATAATTATGGCAATTATTCAACTTCTAACCTAAAATTCTTTTATATCTTCAAATATGGGAATTCAAAAATTATACAAAAATATTCATAAATTAATTAAGCATGTCCAAAATACTCTGATGAAATTGTTTTGTAAAATGAACATCTAACGGTTCAAACAAACCCCATATGCTCCGATAAGTGCCAATTTCTTAAAGAATTATACCATAGCCAAAAAATTAGGAAAAAACATTAATGAAACTAAAGCACAATAATATCTATGATATGACAAAAACGATTTGTGAATTGAACTTATAATGACTCCTAAAAATTTTTTTACTATCATAGATCAAAACTTATTTTTTAAACTTTAAATGTTACTACAACTTCTGTCATATCAACATGTTGGTGCTATCCTTCCGCTTCTACTGCCTCTTCCAACTCCTCATTGTCGGTCTCCTCCTCATTATAAACTATAAAGACCTGGAGTGTGCGGTTCTTACACAGATAGCCTGGTGCATACTTCTCATCATATTAGAAGCACAAACCCTTCGCTCTCTTGTCCTGCATCTATACCTCTATAAGGCACTTGAGGTTGGCCCCAGGACGAACTACCCCACCCTTCTCTCTTGCTACCTCTCACTGAAATGACACCATCTGGGTCCTCAATTTCAGTGAAGTTGAGGCACTCATGTAGGAGGCTTCCGTGACTCTGCTCCTATTGTTCCTCTCCATCTGTCTCTGATCCTCTGTTATCTAGGCTAGCCCCATTGTCTCCCTCAACCCCTTCAGCCTCAATAATTGGAGGTCTGACCATATGTCGGGTATTAGGCCATTCATGAAATTGACCTCCACACTGCCTTTGAAATCCCTCTCAACTGTCCTGACAACAACTAAAATCTCTCCCTACACTCCATAATGGTCCCTTCTTGAGTCAAGACAAAGAATGGCTAAAAAATGCTCCTGTAGGTCTCCTTCCAGAATGACTAAAAAATGTTCCAACAAACAATCATCAAACTCCTCCTAAGAGTGGATCGAATATCTAGCCTCCCTCCACTGGAACCAAGTTAGGGCTTTCCCCTCCAAATATAGCCCTGATACCGTAAGCTTCTCCCCATTCAACCCATTGATTGTAAAATATCTCTCCACCCAGTACAACCACTCATGAGCATCCTTCTCTTAAAATTTTGACATCTTCAACTTCCATACCATGGTATATCCACTCTAGCATTCTCTCCCTCCAACAGTTCCCTCCGTGTATCAAGGGTGGCAATCCCACCTTTCTTCCCTTCTTACATGATATGATCCCCAGGGATCGGCTCGACCCCCTCTATCTCTGGTCACCCATTCCCCTTGCTCAAAATGCCTCCCATAATGATAGGCCACTCTACCACTTCCACCACCATATTCCCTCCTTGCTGTCCCCCCATCCGAAAATCATAATCCGCCGCTTATCAGAGTCATATGAGATGGCTCTTGATGAAAGAAATTCTCCTCGTTGAACTCCTCTTGTATCTTGGTTAGAGCTAGCAATCGAAACTGCCAGTGTAGTTTTGGATTGCATCTCCATAAGCTTCCTCATCATCTCCTTCAACGCTCCAAATCGACTCTTCATCGATTCTTCATAACTGAAAATCTTCCTTTGATGGTTAAGTACTTCTCCATCCTGTATTTGATTCAATTGCACGTATATGTCTCCTTCCCGAATGGCCAAAAAATGTTACAACAATCATCAAACTCCTCCCAATAGTGGATCAAATATTTAACCTCCACCGGAACCAAGCTAAGACTTTCCCCTCCATACATAGCCCTGCTACCGTAAGCTTCTCCCCATTCAACCCATTTAATGTGAAATATCTCTCCACCAATTTCGACATCTTCAACTTCTTTACCCCGGTATCTCCACTCCAACTTTCTCCCCCTTCAACGGTTCCCTCCGTGTATTGAGGGTGTGAATCTCACCTTTCTTCCCTTCTTGCATGATCTGATCCCCAGGGCTCGGCTCGACCCCCTCCATCTCTGGTCGCCCATTCCCCTTGCTCAAAATGCCTCCCATAGTGATAGGCCACCCTACCACTTCCCCCATCTGAAAACCCTAATCCATAGCTTATCAGAGTCATATGAGATGGCTCTTGATGAAATAAACTATCCTCGTCGAACTCCTCTCGTCAGATCTTGGTTAGAGTTAGCAATCAAAACCATCAGTGTAGTTTTGGATTGCATCTCTATAAGCTTCATCATCATCTCCTCCAACCCTCCAAATCAACTCTTCATCCGATTCTCCATAACTGAAAATCTTCCTTCGATGGTTAAGAACTTCTTCTCCATCCTGGATTTGATTTGCTCCACTTTGCCTTCCAATGCATCAACCTTATTTGTTGTCATCTCTCTAAAACCTCACTTTGATACCAATTTGATGCGTCTTAGAAGGAAAAAAAAGGAAGTAGATAATAAGAAAAATACAAGAACCAAATATTAGAGCTGATTTTTTATTATCTCTTCAATAAATAATGGAAGATGCAATTGATACTATTCGAGAGGTAGATTGATTCCCCCACAAACCCTAAGCGCCACTAGGAACAACTCCAAAGAAAAACTACAGCAAATACAATCACATAATAAAAATAAAATCACACAATTAACACTAATATAAACCTTATTATTTCCCTCCCAAATCTAATTTCAAATAAGTCATCTTCCCCTAAATAAATCTTTCCTAATTTCCTCCCAATCAAATAAGTCATTTATCTCTAAATAAACATTTCATAATTCCCTCCCAATTAAATCAACTCTATTTTTCTAAATAAACCTTTCATAATTTCCTCCCAATCAAATCAACCATCTTTTCCTAAATAAATCTTTTCTAATTAGTTCCTTATTAATTCTTCCTCCTTACATAATGAATGATGGATCCCTTGGGCCTCACAAGAGCATATCAGAATTATCACTTTAAAAATTATTATTGATGCTAAGATTATTAACATTATAAATTTTTATGCTCCACAAGTAGGTTTGGATATGTACTCTAAATTAAAATTTTAGAATGACATATAAGAATTATACAAAACATATTGCTCAAAGAAAATATTTTCTTGAAGGATATTTAAATATACATGTTGGTGGAGTGGTAGAAAATTTTAAAAGAATTCATGATGACTATAAGTTTAGAGTGACCAATGAAATTGATAAGACCACAATAGATTTTGTTCTAGCTTATGATTTTGTGATTACTAATACGTTATTTAAGAAAAGAGAGAAACATCACATCATATATAAGAATGAATATAATAAAACTCAATTTGATCATTTTTATAAGAAAAATATATCGTTTAGATTACAAAAAATAATAAAATTACTCTAAGTGAAAATTCATATACTCAATATTGCTTATTAATTTTGAACTTTAAGATGAGAGAGAGAGAGAAATATGAAAAATAAAGTAAATGTTATCTTATGATTAGATGGCGGCTTTTAAATAACACTGGCAAAAATATTTTTCATAATATGATTCAATAACTTAAGATTTTGACGATCTATAAGGAAGCTAATATTATGTAGAAAAAAAATAATTACTGATATTTAGAATATTACAAAGAATGTATTTGAGAGTGTCATGTTATCCCACCACGTGGGATCGACTACATGATTTTTTTTCTCCATTCTGTCTTATTGATAATCAAATTCACTTAAATCAAATAAAAATAGAGTACACCAAAACACAAAAAACTATTTAAATGGCTTTTAAAAATCTTTTTAAAAAGTACATGTAAAATGGCGAAGAAAAAATTTGTAGGGTTGAATTTGGAAATTTTGGAATAAGTTAGGTTTTAAGGAAGATAAAATATAACATATTGTATGCACTTTTTAACCTAGGATATCAATGAAATTATTAGGGAGTTGATGTTGTGCTTTTGGGTTAAAAAAGAAATTACTAGGCAAAAGGCAAAATTGGGCTTAAAAATAGGTGGCTAAACTGAGCTTGCGCCAACAAGATTTTCTTAGGCATAGCCAAGGAGCATTGGTTGGGTCACAAAAATCGATTAAATTGGCCAAAGCTAGGGCTAGGTCAGGCGAGCTTCCTCTGGCCCTACTAAGCCTAACTCTCTATTTCAGAGACGAGAGGCACAATAAGCAGCATATCATAACTATCAATGGCTAATCAGAGAAAAATGAAAAGTTTTCCCTCTTCTCATATGCAATCCCTTCCTTTGCCATGTTTCATCCCAGGATGTGCCACCTGGAAAAAATGAATAGTATTCCTTCCCATATCTATATGTTACCCTAGCATGAAATTCAACTCCATTTATAAATAAGAGGAAGATCATACCTCTTGGCGTAGGATCTATAAGATTTTAATTATAAATGTAGCAACTTGCTTAGTATCGCCTTAGAATAGTGGTGGAAGATGGTTAGGTGTTTAAGATTTTGAAAGATTTGGTGTTGAAGCTTGTTAAGAAATGTAGAGATAGACCTAAAAAGACTTGGTTATAAGATATTAGAAATGATATTTATTTATTAGATTTAAACGATAATTTGACTTTTTAATAGAACACAATGGAAAAAAAGGATTCATGTAATCGACCCCATGTAGTTGGACAAAGGCTTGATGTTGTTGTTGTTGGTGTTGAAGCATGTATACAATCAAAAGAAAAAAAAAATCTTGAAGAAAAGGGTTGAAGAACTGTAGATTAAAAGTTAGGGATATATCAGAACTAACGAACTAACGTTGATGTTTTTATGAATTTTGGATCAGTGATTAACTAATTGTAATATTTTTAATATGATTGTTCACAACAAGAAATTATCTTTCTATGGTGGCATTTGGCTAAAGTATCTTAGGATTCTAGGGGAGTTGAGGCATTGGGAGGTTATGAGGGATGTTTGAGACAGCTTTAAAGAAGCCGAATATATTTGGGTTGAAAGAACCTATAATTGAGGTTATGTAGAGGAGTTTTTTCTGCTTCTTGTTTCCAGCATTAAGTCCTTCGAGGAAATTTTTTACCTCTTATCACCTCAATTTTCTACTTCCAAGAGGCCATTTAAGATATCTCAATCTCTTTTAATGTGAATAAAATCTGACAAGCAAGTCTTTGAGACTAGATCATCAAACTTACTTGAGCTACACATGATGCCCCACACCAATAGATGCGCAAATCACATGAATTGGGGCATCAAATCGAACTCGCATAAATTAATCATCATGCCATAAGATCCGACTACAATTTCTAACACATTTAACTACTAATTAGGGTTTAGTATTTACCAAGCCTCGAACTAACGGAGAGGGAAGAAGGTCGCATAGGACATAAATCCAGTGGCATTATGCGCTCCAACCCCGTCAGCCTCACCAACAATAGCGATTACGCAGTAAAACTCACAACGGCAGGCACCCTCATTAACGGCCGCCTTCAGGATGAAAAGAAGCCCGCAAAGAGTAGGGAAACAGGCGGAGAGAGTTTAGATGATAAATGTATTCGAGGGCGGCTTCCTGGAGCCAACGAACTCAAAAGCTCGCCAATGGCGAGTTTCCTAAACTTACCTCGCAGCTTCAGGTTAAAAAGGTAATCGATGGATTGAAACGGTGACGCTTAAAATTTTCCTTGAACCGAATCGAAAGGAGTGGCTAAAGATTCCTAGTTTCTATAATTTAAATTTAAATACATTCAATTTTTAAATTGTATTCATATTTAATATAAATTTATAAATTTAATATAATCATTATTATTTTATATCATATGCTTGTATATAATGTATCATGGTTTTAAAAATCGGACCGGGCCAACCGATTCAATCGGTTGAATTATGAATTGGTCGATTGGACAATTCGATTGACTCTTAGAATCATTTTTGCAACAAACGTATTAAAAGCCGCCCACCCAGTCAGTCGAACCAGCACCGATTCATAAGAACCGCCTGGTTCAAAAGAGGAAGGATTTGAGCCGTCAGACGAATGCACAAATTTAAGTGAGGTGTGGACCTAAACTAAGTGCTCATGCATCCTACACATGTAAAAGACGACAAGGTAATTAAGCATGCTTATCGAATCAATTAGTAAATGATTAAAACTCAACCACCCACTAATCAACCTCCCCCATGAATGCTATCCATGTACATGAATCTATGTTCAAAATTCAAGTAGCGGATCTCCCAAACTTAGGGATTTAATTGTATAGGCAATTTTAAAACAATTTAAAATACCCGTATTTATCAATGCACGAATACATAAGTTTCAAAGTAATATGATTCAAATAATTCAATGCTCATAATCATGGGAGACAACGGCGGAGTGAGGAGGGGGCCTGCGGGGGCACGTGCCCCCTCCGAAAATTTTTTTTTTTGCTGGTTCGCGATTGGAGGAAGCGGCGGTGTCAAATTTGGCTAATTAATGCACATTATGCCATTGCCTATTACGTTGCCTCTGCCTTCACCGGTTCATAATAAAAAAATAAAAAAAATAAAAAAAAACTTGCGCATACCCTAATCCACAAGCCTTCCAGTCCCGTCGCATATTCTCCTCCGTCGGCTTTGCGCACGGAACCAGCCGTCCGCCGTTGCATCCGCCGTCCGCCCATTACGCTCACACTGGCAGCTGCTCTGAGTGCTCTCCCTCCGTGGTTCCGTCAGTTCCGTGATTTCGTTTGGATCGTCGAGGCCGGCTGCACAGGTAAGGAACTTTTTTTTTTTTAATTTTGTTTTCTGAAAAAGGATGTCAGTGGTTTTTATTATTTTATACCTGAACTTATAATTTCGTTTACTGATGGATGTCAGTGAGACAGTGATTTAGTGTACTGTTTATTGTTTCGGGTTAAAAAAAATAAATAATCTGTATTTCTGCAATGTGTATTTTCTACAATGACAATTGCAATAACTTTACAACTAAGAAAATGCTCTTGCAATACCGTAATTTAAAAATAAAGAATCTGAATTTCTTGCATTGCTTTTCTTTTTAACTGTGTATACTTTTTTGCTATGTTCATAACCAAATTGGTGCTTATAGGTATGAATTGTTTGTTTACCTGTTTAGAATAACAAAAAATAATTTGCTTTGTGCTTCATTTTTATTTTTATAATTAGTTTATAATATTTATGTTTTATCTAATTTACGACTCTAAATTTGGACAAAGATCATGGAGAAATATTTTAAGAAGTCCTCAAAATCTTCCGCTTTAATATTCGTGCATTTGGGAGATATTTTTGTTGTGTGACTCATCTCAAAATAAATCTAATAGCTTCGAAATCAAAATTGTGTCGAAATATCTTAGCACCATGCTATCTATTTTCTATTCTACTCTAGGGTTGCAAACGAGTCAAGCTAACTCGCGAGTTGGCTCAGACTAGACTCGATAATAGGCTCAACGAGTCGAGCTTATCGAGCTCACGAGTCGAGCTTGAACACGACGATTACGAGCTCATGACGATGACGACGAACACAATTATGATGGACGAGCACTCGACAAAAGACGAGCTCAGGATGACGATGACGAACGTGACTACGAGCTCGAGACGACGATGACGGAGCTCGACAGCGGACGTGACTACGAGCTTGACAGTTGACGTGACTATGAGCTCAACGAGCTACTCGACATGAAGGAAGAGTCGAGCTCAAACTCGTATTTTTGAGCTCGACTCGTGTTCGAGCTCAAGCTCGAGCTCGACATTTGAGAGTCGAGCTCGACATTTGAGAGTCGAGCTCAACTCAAACACCTCTTGGCTCGAGTTCGACTCGACTCATTCGCACCCCTATTCTACTCCATGGTGTCTATTTGAATAATATTTTATAAAATTTGTGATATATTTTTATATTAAATTTATTATTATATATTATGTAAATCAAAAAATATTTAATCATTATTATTTGGATTCATTCCTAATGCTTTTATTATATTCATATTATATTATTATATTATTATTATTATTATTATTATATTATTATTATTGTTGTTTTTAAATCATTTATTTTATATTTTACTTAAACATTATTTTGTTATTTTGAATTTTTGTTTGTTATTTGTGAGTTGTTAATTATTTTTGATTACTATTATTATTACTATTATCATCAATTATTTTAATTATTAAATCCATTATTCTTATTTAGTACTATTTTGATATTATTATATTATTATTTAATTATTTGAGATATTTAAATATTTTTAATAATCGACATTTTTTTTTATTCAATTTAAAGATTACTAATTATTTTTTTAATTTAACACTTATTTTAAATTCCTAATCAATAAGTAATTTAATATAATTAAATATTTTCTAAATTTATAAAAATTACTGTTTCCTTATTAAATTTATTTTAACTATTCAGAATAGTGTAAATTTTATTATTTAAATCTAAATTAAATTAATTATTTTCCTATTTTAAACATTTTCTTAGTTATTAATTAACGTTAAATTTTTTAATTAATTTTAAAATTCAATTATTTTAAAATTCCAAAAAATACCTTTTATTATATTATTCTAAACTACAGAAAATAATTCTAATTTATTTTAATTTAAAAGACAATTTTTAAATATTAAGTACTTTAAATTATTTTAGAATTCCTTTTTTAATACAATAAGCTTCTAAAATTCATAAATATTTCATTTTAAATAGGATTTTGATGTGATAATATCTGTTCTTTTCAGAAAAATATTTATTTTAATTTAAAAATAGTTTCAGCAAAACCAATTTTACTCTTCTGGTTATTTCTGTATTGTTAATTACTTGGATATTTAGAATATGTTAATATGTTAGAATATTTTGAAATTTCAAAATTATGTTTGAATTACTTTTTGAATCCTGCTTGAGGGCCCAAGTGATCTCCCATGATTATGAGCATTGAATTATTTTGATCATATTACTATTGAAACAGTGGCGGAGCCAGAAATTTTGTTTAGTGGGGGGCCTAATGAAAGCCGTTCTCGTGAGTCGTAACTCGTGAGTCGCGAGAGATAGAAAAGGGAAAAACGAACCATTAATGCTTTTCATGTATCCAGGAAAAAAAATGGCTTATATGGATTAATAAATAGATTTAAAAGCAAGAATTATACAATTAGAGCATGATTTTCTCATTGACAAAATTGTTGCTCTATTAAGTCAGCCAAAATAATAAGTCTGTTAAAGCCCTTTAGGCTTTCAATTTTAGCTTAGTTGGAAGTGGAGAGAGGTGTTGAATATACATAGTATTAGATTAGTTAAGTTACGGCTGGTCATGAATGAGATGGCTGCAGCACTTCGTTGCGCAAAAAAAGCGAGCAACAATCAAAACCTTAAATCAGTTAGCAATGAAAAAATTAATTAAATAATTGGGGTGTAATTTTAATATTAATATTAATATTAGATAATAAATAATTAGTTCATTATGAAAGTTCTAATAAATCAATATTTAAAATAATTAAAATTTTTAATAATAATAATCAAATAGCCAGTAACTCTGGTTAAAACTATTTTTCATCATTCTTATTCACAAATAGGAAAGTACATCCTCACTCCCATTCAATATTTTTACTCCATTATCATTCTCTCTCTACAAGCTTTAAAGTAGGTGGATTAAAAGGCTTAAAAATGTAAAACATGTAATAAATTAAAATGAATCCTGATTACCTTTTGGTACTCCATGAGAGTGCAGGTCTACTTTGAGTAAATTTTGTTTTTAGGGGGGGCAACGGTGCTCCCCCCTTGCCCCCCCCTCCTCCCGTCCGCCCATGCTTTTGAAACTTATGATTTCGTCGCATCGGTAAATACGGTATTTTAACATTTGTTTTAAAAATTGCCTATAACAATTAAATCCCTAAGTTGGAGATCCGCTACCTTAAATTTTGGAACATAGATTCATGTACAGGATAGCATTCATGGGGGAGGTATGATTAGGTGGGGTGGTTGAGTTTCAATCATTTTACTAATAGATTCGATAAGCGTGCTTAATTACCTGTCGACACGCTTTTGAGCATGTGTAGCGATTGTCGAATGAAGCACTTAGTTTAGGTCCACACCTCACTTAAATTTGTGATCGATTCGTTTCGACGGGTGCAACCTTGGCCTCTTTTGAACACAGGCGGTTTGCTTAATGAATCGGTGCTGGTTTTCGACTGACGGGTGAGGCGGCTTTTAATACGTGCTTGTTGCAAAAACGATTTCTAAGAAGTCAATCAAAATTGTCCAATCAACATTCATAACTTCCAACCGATTGAATCGGTTTGACCCGGTCCGATTTTTAAAAACCCATGATAAACATATATACAAAGCATATAAATAAAAT